AGATGCCTTCAAACGTTCAGAAATATATACAGATGTCTTAAAAGATCAACAAACTTAGCACCTATTTTTTGTCTATTTATGAGTGTTTTAAATAAATTGCTCATCTAAGTCAACAACCAGAAGCAATACTAAATAATTATTAAGAATGATATATTTAAAATTTATTGACTAAAACAGTAAAATTCAAAAATTTTGATGTTTTAGTTATTAGATCACTCAAGTCTGTTGCGAAAAGCAAAAAATATTTGTCACTTGATGTAATATAGGTGTAATTAAATATTACGATTATCAAATCTTCATAAAAAACACTATCCAGTGGCCGAATAATGCTGAAAATCTAGTCACAAAATTTAAAAAGTACACCCAAAGTATTAAATATACCTACAACTATCTTGCACAATGCCTATAAGGTCCTTTCAAAATGCTTTACCGTCTTTTTATCAGGGGGACGGCAAACCCTCTCTTTGGGTAGCGGATGCATTCAGAAAGGAATCATCATTCATGAACTAATGCACGCAGTTGGCTTTTTCCACGAGCAATCGCGTTCTGATCGAGACGATTATATTACAATTATCTGGAACAATATTCAGCCTGGAATGCAAGGCAAAATCTTTATTTCATTTAAATCTACATGACCAAGGTTTCTGTTGAATTTCAGAAGCTTGAAAGTCTTTCTATAGGACAGTTTGAAAAATACGGTCATGGAACAATCCAGATGTTGGGCGTTGATTACGACTATGCATCCGTTATGCACTACGGTTCAAGAGCTTTCAGTCGCAATGGTCAACCGACTATTGTACCGAAAAAAACTAATGCAGTGATCGGTCAGCGTTCCGGGTTCAGCAAACTGGATGCTTTTAAAATTAATAAATTATACGAGTGCACACCAGGTATGTGATGTCACTTTGTTCCGGTCTAAATTACCCAAATTTAAACACTGTGCTGAGTGCTTGCAGTTTGCGTAGTCATTCTGGTCTTTACTTTTCAAAACCAGTCAAAAAAAAAAAAAAAAAAAAA